CCCCCTAGATATTGGATCCAGCCTGGTGGATTGTCGAATCCTCCCAATCGCTCATCTTCATTGTCTTCATGAAGCCCTTAGCGAAGGAGGCTTGAGAGAACCCAGATACCCAACAAGACCAGAGGAATCATCTCAGGATCTAACTCTTCAAAAGACTCCTCTTGGACGTCAAAGGCATCTGTGGGCCTGAAAGAGCAGATTGGTCGGACAGGAAAGGCCTTGGGGATTTAGATGAGGCCCAAACGCAGTCGTGACCAGCTCCACCATCTCCACACGGCCAGTCAGGCCATCAGAGTGGCACATGGTGCCAAGCAGGTGCTATAAATAGGGTAGGCCCCTGTTGTCGTGGCAATTGCCCCACCAGGGCTAGCTTGGTAAGTTAATTGAAACTCTTTATCGACTATAAGTGTAAAGTGAAGCTTAACGAAGATTTCTGAGCAAAAGAGATAGCGGAGCAAAGCACAGGTCTTCAAAAACCCACCAAAAAAATGGCGGTTGCTTGATAAAAATGTCGGTCTGTCAACAGCCTTTTTTAGAATGGTCGACGACCGGCAGGGTATATGCTCAGCAGTCCAAGCATTAACAAAAACAACTGTAATGTAATTATAACTTTATATATAAATGTACATAATCAGAAGACTCTTAGCCCAGGTCTTGGTGCGTTCCATGGGGTACAAGCGCCGGGGTTTTGTCACCCGGGTTTGCAGAAAGTCACCCGGCCGCATGTAAACGCAGCATTAGTCAAAAGTCGCCCGGCTTGCGAAGAGTCACCCGTTTTATGTTAAAACACCATGTAAACGCTCTACGGAAGTATCTTTGTCAAAACTGCGATACATCAAGAAATCATTGCCCCTGCGCACAAAAGAACTAGATGTATGTCGAAGTGTGCAGCGTTTTGGTGACCGAAACCCAATCAGAACGCAATAGTAGGAACTGTGTAAAAACATTGTTTTCGTCGGAAACATGGCTACACTGGCGAGAGTGCCGTGCGAGTCTTTTCGAACCTGACGCGAGCGCCGCGCGAGTCGAGGTATCCACCTCCCCACGTCGATTATCTTCAAACTTGTTGGTCACATTCCATCTAACCTGCATGGAAACAAAGCATCCAAACAATGGTGTTGAACTGATATTCCAAAGCTTATCTTCCAATCATATTGACATCTTGCACCTAAACCGCATGTAAACGCAGCATCCAAACAATGTTGTTGACCTGACACCTTCTGTTCCTTTAGTGAGAGCACACACTCAAGGTTATAGTTCTATTAGGGTCAGCTCAGTTCCACCATTCCACCCTCTTCTGAAGATTGACTGGTAAGAATGCCAACGGCGAAAAAGGGTTGCTTCTTTTCCCACAACATGAAAGAAGGGTCTGAGATGGGCCTGAGGGCCATCCAGGCCGCTAGGCCTGTTGGAGAATGCTGGGCCCCATCCCACCCAGCCCAGGCACAGCCACACCCTGCAGAAGCCCCGGCGCGTTCGTCACAATCTTCGTGGACTCCTGGGCAGCGTTTTTGTGACAGATCGGCGGATCGGAGGTCTTGGCTCCAGACTGAAACAATAACACTTTCCGGCTGCATGCCTGATGCATGCCTGGCTTCATCACCCATGCAGTGACTATCATATATATATACACGTAGTTTTATAGGTTGTATGTGTTATGTTTTCTCTTTGCATGGAGTCGTATTAAAAGTCCGTGTGATGAAGTGAGCTGCTACACTGCCACACTTGGTCTTAGGCTTTATATGGCTTTATATTCAGAATATGTGGAAAGGAGTTGCTATAACTCCGTGCAAAGGTGTGATGTGCAATACTTCATCATAGCATGCAATCGAAGCCGAGTTCTGGGAAAAATTCCTTTGGGTGATCCACTAAGAACCAATCACATCTACATGACTGCCACCAAACAACTTATATGTGAATTGAACATGTTTGGGCTGACATTTGGAGGGTTCAACTGCCTTCTGCAAGCGAAGCCCCACTGGGAAGTGGCTGCAGTGGCCCCACTGTCCGACTCTCTGACCTGCACCTGCGACCGGAACAAACATGGATGAAATCCACAGGCCCGCGAGCATCACCATCTTAGATGCTTCTTTGTTTTCCCAGGTTTTCCTAAGGGAAAGTGGCCGACAACACTTGGCGTCCGCAATCTTGAAGAAGAATCATCATTGGACAACTCCCACAGCCCACAAACAAAAAAATAAACAACCTCGCGCAACATCTGTGTGCCGTGTGCATTTCCCCAAAAAAAACATACCCAACATCAACATCCTCCACCAACTCCTCCAGCTCCCAACCCTGCCCAGTTCCCAAAGTTTGCGCCGCGGCGCGCTCTTGGGCATTTTGGAGACCACATCCTTTACCACGGTGACGCAGGAGTCGGTGAAGGGCGCAAAGAGCTCGATGGGAACGCCATAACCTGCACGAACGGGACGGAGTTCCGGACGCGGTCGAGCGAAAAGGGACCCGAAATCCGGACTGGAAGGATCGAAGGGACAAAAAG